TTTTTTTTTTTTTTTGTCTTTTTGAGACAGGGTCTCTGCAGTTCAGGCTGGTCTTGAGCTTGCCTTGTAGCCCAGGCTGGTCTCAGCCTCGCTAGGATCCTCCTGCCTCAGCCTCCTGAAGAAGCATGAGATACGATGGGTACAAATTTGATCTAAGGGAGAAACTGCTGCCTGTTGTGGGATGAAGCTGGCCTTGGAGCTGGTCTTGCAGAGGAGGGAAGCTTCGGGGAGCGCGGACTGAGCCACTGCGCCACATACCTGGCCGCACTGGGGAGGAGACGAGGCGCCATTGCTGCACGGTGGGCGGCTGGCTGCCTCTCCCTCGAGACACGGAAAACTGTCAGAAAAATTTACCTGTAAAAGCCACGTATGTAAAAGCCAGGCGTGGTGGTGCAGGCCTGCGACCAGCACTCTGGGAGGCTGAGGCGGGAGGATCCAAAGTTTGGGCCCAGCCAGGACAATTTCGTGGCTTTGTGAGTCCCTGTCTCAAAATAAACGATGAAAAAAAGGACAGGGCTATAGCCCAGTGTGAAGGCCCTGGGCTCCGTCCCCAGGGCCACAAAAACAAACAAACAAAGAAACGAACAAAATGTATTTAGCGTGTTTGTTCTTCTTTTCCTTTTTAAATTATTATTTTAAAGAGAAAAGACAAAAGAAAAATGGATTTTGAGAAAAAAAGAAAAATGGATTTTGAAAATCAGATTAGCCTAACTTTTCAGGTGAATAGGACAGTAACAATAATTCATACATTTTGTAGCTCAGCATGGTGGCGCACACCTGTAACCCCAGTGCTCAGAGGCCGAGGCAGGAGGACTGTCGCGGATTTAAGATAAACCTGAGCTACTAAGCGAGCTCAAGGCCAGCCTACCTGCCTAGCTTTTTGTCTCAAAAAGACAACATATATGCAGTATATATATTATATAATATATATTATCCAATACACTATACATATATACTGTATATACAGTATATTGCATAATATTGTGTAATATATATATATACAGTATTGTTATCTTCATAGCTATTCCTCAGAGTACAAGATAGAGGCATAAAAGGTTGTCTGAACATTAGTAACACAAACTTTTCTTTTC